GACCTCTCAAAGCATGTAGAAAAACATTTGCTGTTCAATTAGGGCAATTCATAACATTGACCAGAAAGTCACGATTACCTAACAAGTAATCAACCCCAACAGTTAGGATTGAGCATGGATTTGTGAAATGTTAGTATTCTGCAGATGACAATTTGCTGTCTGTGGCATAATATTGGAAACGAAGACATTTTAACAATTTTCATTTTAAATTCTTTAATTTACTATTTCTCAAATGTCACAATTTTCAAATTATGGAGGTAAATTAGTCAATTTTTATGTCTTCAGATTCCTAAGTTCGCAAATTGAAAAATTATCAAGTTTTTTTAATTTAACAACTAATTCACAGTTCCAAACATTTTATTATCAAGGTGGTAGTTTGTAAATTTACCGTTGGTCTACAATGAGGTACAATATTTACATAGAAATATAACATGCAATGAAAGTGCAGACATGAGCTGTGAAATGTCTCAAACGCAGTGGCAACGGTCGTTAAAACGGGACATAAATTTATATTTACGAGAGAAGGCCTGTCAATTTTAACACCTTCTTTAGAATGTAAATGAAAAACTCGAGAAACGCGCGAAAAATATGTGGGATAACTGTACTCGATACAGAACATCTATTTTGAAATCTTGCCAAAAATGGAGACATGTTTTGTATAATACGTCATCCATATATTTTTAGGTTTCCTGCGTGTCACTTTCGTAATTTTTTTTGACTGCAAACAATCGTTATTAATATCATTATTATTATTATTGATATTATTAATAGGGCTACACATCACAAGTTAAATCAATTTGAGAATTTTTTAGATATAATTTGAAACAAATGTTTGATGTAGAATTATTGATGTTATTACAAACTGATAGAACTACATACATATCACAATTTATATCAATTTAGAAACCTTTCAAGTAGAATTTAAAATAAATGTTTAATGTTGAATTACTGACAACATGTCACTTAGACCACACTTTCATACTCAACCTCTAAGAATCAACACGACTTTTAAATAACGAATTTCAAAATTACTAGAAACGTTTCTCAAGCCATATTACCAACACCCTTTTACAACAGCAAACTGGTAACAAGTTTTTCAAATAATATATTCAATAATAAATCGGAACATGACCTATCAAATAGCTTGCAAGATCCCTTTCGTCACCGATCTAGACTTATATTAAAATATCACGATTTAAATCGTTTAAAAATTGTAATAAAAGAAGCACGTATAATCATATTCAGCGCAATATTAGCATAAAGTACTAGGAGCGTAATAAACAGAGCTCAGCGGTGCATTCTTGTTAATGAAAGTCACATCGAACACGATATGTAGTCTACTCGTAGTGACGGGTTAATAAATGCGATATTACGAAATAATTTGTTTCTTTCATTTTTGTTATATTGCCTTGGGGGTCAGTCATGCACGTGTATGAACATTTTAACACAGTTTTTCGTGTGATGTTAGAAAATGTACAGGGTGATTCATGCAATTGGATTGTTATAATCAATCTCAATAACGTGAAGTGAAGTTCGTAAAGGGGGCAAGTATGCAGGCTATTTTTATTACAATATGAGCAAAATTTCTCCATTTAGTATGTTTGTTTCCTTGTTTTGTTTCACTATATCCCCTTTTATATTTCAGCTAAGAGTACTTGTTTGCAGTATAGAGTACTTGCATAATGCAGTAAAAAGCATTTTATAGTAAACTTGTTAATAATTCTGCTCTTGCCGCATTGCACATGAAATAAAGTTTCAAAGTATTTAACTTCAAAATACGCTCTTACCCCATTTTCGGGGAAAGTGCAGAGTAGTTGACATTTTAAACAATTTCCTATCAAAATCAAAATGTACAAGGAAAATTAAGGTCCTAGTTAATATTAATTAAATAGTAGTAATTGTGCAAAGCGTTCGATATCGACAGCGTTAAGTATTTATATAGCAGACTGAAAATACTTACGTTTAGATACCAACTTTACAAAAACCAGTCTGCACTTACCCCACTTCACCTTATAGACAAATTTTAAAGCAGAAAGATGAATGATAAATATTATATTCTACGAATACTTAGTACTTAAATCTATTTACATAAATCTGACAATAAGTTCAATTTGTATGAGGCAAACACTATTAAATATTTTTTCATAAAATTTTTTTGAAGAGGTAGATCCAATACTGTAGACCTATTTTAGATAAAATTTTCAGGATTTTATTAGAATAGGGGATTAAAATTGAAGTTCTACAAAAGTCACCATAACCTCAATTCCAAGTGGCCAATCCATTTTTTTTGGCGCCAAAAAATGTCATCGTATTACGTTACGATGACGTCATAGTTTGCACATTCTCTGTTATGACAAACACATAAAGAATATAGTTCAAGAGTTCTGCGATAGTTACTGAACGAGTCAGATCTCAAGAATTAATTGCCTGTGAAATTTCACTGTTCCTAATATTATAATTCATACAAGTTTTTTTAATACTCCAATCAGTGTAAAAAGTAAAACTGATCATTGATAGCATCTCTTCGTGAATTTCATGAATATCTTATTTTCTTATTGAATCTTGCAAGCGATATTTTTAACCCTGAGAAGTAGACCGGCCGGCTAGTAATATATTCATAGTACCTAGTTTTTATTTTAAGTGTAGTACATGTGTATTCAACAAATGTTTCGCTTTTTGTAATAGAAATGCATAATTTTTTTGCACAGTCGAATTCTTGCGATTCTACGTAAACAAGTACTCTAAAAAAGTTCTATTTAAAAAATGGTTAATGTATAGAAGAGAAATACCGGTCTGTATTAACTCGAACACCCCATAGAAATAAAAGATCCGAAGAATTTGACGTGTCAAAGAATAATTAAGAATAAAATTCGGCTTTCCCTATTTACAAATGGCATACAGCTCGATCGAAGTATTAAGGCTTATCTAAGCTTTATCCACGACCACGACATGAACAATTCACATCTGACATTTCACTACAAACCGTTATATCCTTATTTTATATTCTGCTAAGGGTATGCATAAGTTTCCGTAGACTGTGTACAGATAGCGATAAGAATTGCTACTTGCGGAATTTCCGATGTATTTGGTTTTATTATATCTATGTTGGTCAAACTGCATAGCTATTACATTGTTTTATATCAACATGGCCGATTTCGAAACTTAGAAAGTGTAACGGGAACTGTAAGAATAACCGAAAAATATTGTTAGATAGCATTTATTGGATATCGTGATGAAGAATGGAGGTATTTGTACAAATTTGTTCATTAGGAATTTTAGATGTACCGTTATGATAGTTACGGGTAAATAATGGCACCGAAATTTAGAAATGTAGAAGTTACAAATATATAAATTTACGAATTTACTAGTTCATACATTTGCAAGTTAAAAAATTTCAAATTTCCCAATTTCCCAATTTTTCAAATTCCCAAATTCCCAATTTCTCAATTTCCCCATTTCTCCATTTCCCAAATTCCCAACTTCCCAATTTCTCAATATCCCAATTTCCCCATTTCCCAAATTCCCAATTTCTCAATTTCCCCATTTCTCCATTTCCCAAATTCCCAAATTCCCAATTTCCTAATTTTGCAATTTCCCAATATTCCAATTTTCCAATTGCCAATCTCCCAATTTCCCAATTTCCCAATTTCCCAGTTTCCCAATTTCCTAATTTTCATATTCCCAATTTCTCCATTTCCCAAATTCCCAACTTCCTAATTTCTCAATATCCCAATTTCCCCATTTCCCCATTTCCCAAATTCCCAATTTCTCAATTTCCCCATTTCTCCATTTCCCAAATTCCCAAATTCCCAATTTCCTAATTTTGCAATTTCCCAATATTCCAATTTTCCAATTGCCAATCTCCCAATTTCCCAATTTCCCAATTTCCTAATTTTCATATTCCCAATTTCTCCATTTCTCAAATTCCCAACTTCCCAATTTCTCAATATCCCAATTTCCCCATTTCCCCATTTCCCAATTTCTCAATTTCCCAATTTCCCCATTTCCCCATTTCCCTAATTCCTAATTTCCAATTTCCCAATTTCCAATTTCCAATTTCCAATTTCCAATTTCCAATCTACCAATTACCCAATTGCCCCATTTCCCAATTTCTCATTTTCCCAATTTCCCAATTTCCAATTTCCAATCTCCCAATTACCCAATTGCCCCATTTCCCAATTTCCCAATTTCCCAGTTTCCCAATTTCGTATTTTCCAATTTCCCAATTTCCCAATTTCTCAATTTTGAAATTCTCAGATTCCTGAAACGTCATTTTCACCCTTCTTTTAACCTATGAATAAAAATTAAACCCCTTACAAAAATCTCAGCAAAAATATATTCAGTAACGTAATTTCTAATATCGATCAATTGCATATACATCTATCACTGATAAAGTATTGATTAATATATCTATCTTCAGAAAAATATTGATCAATACGTGTAAATCTACTATCAATGCAATATTGATCAGTGAATATACATACATATACACATGTAGTATCAGTACAATATCGGTCAGTTATATTATCTATTACTGATACACTATTGATTAATATATCTATCTTCATAAAAATATTTGTACGTAAATCTACTATTAATGCAATATTGATCAGTGAATGCACAAGTATCACTTCAATATCGTTTAATGTGTATAAATTTAGTATCAATATCAATCAATACATTTGTGTTGCAGTACCGTATTGACCAATATACCTATCGCCAACACAATACATGTATACCTGAAATCAATACAATATTTACCAATGTACATATCACATATCAGTGTATGTAATTGACTAATACTGTTATTGCAACTATCGATAAATTTGTTCAACATCGAAAACTCTGAAATATCCAATACGTATTGAGTCCAAGCTCCAAGCTTCATATATCCAAGCTCCACATTACTCCATAATTCCCTCTCGAAGCGATCATCTGCACTTCCCTTCTAACACTGATACTTATTTCAAAACTCCATAAGAACGCCAGTTCTATCTTAGATTCCCTCGATTCGAGTGACGACATCACTTCCAGGATGACCCGATGTTCCCAACAGAGCCGCGAGAGCAAAGTACATTATCGAGGCCTGTACTTGGAGCACGTTTACCTCGGCAGGATGTAGGTTGCCTTTTAGATCGGCCGACCTCTTTTCTCTATGGCCATTTTTACGGAAACGAAATTCACAGAGTGGGCAGAGCCGATTCCAGCTTCAGAAGTTCATCCACCGTGTAGCCGAGGTGCTATTGTTCGAGAGCCAACCGACGGAGACGAGGAAGAGAAGTCAGGGAACGAGATGGAGGAGGATAGTATCGAGAAAGAGTTCTATCTATATACACGTGAGCTATGCTCGAATATCTGTGCACGTGTGTGTGTATAGATGTACACGTCGAAGAAAAGTAGGTCTTTCCCTGGGAGTTCAAACGATTCTTACGCACCGTCGGCGAGTACACGTTAATTTCAATCGGCGGCGCAAACTTTTCGTCACAGTCTATTTCGCAAGGGTCATCGAGCCCCGGCACTCACCTGATAATTATTTTCTCGAGATCGTTATCAAATCGCTTCTTCCGTGAGATCCGGGGATTAAAGGGTCGAGGATAAGTATCTTATACGCATAATTATTGCCGCAGAAAAATGCTTTCTGGGGGACTCGAAAAATTGCTTTCGTGCATTACATATGTAATGCACGTGCATACATATGTGATAAAAATGAAGGAACATGTATCTATTCAGCTTGAAAGTCATACACAAAATTATTTCTGTGGGAAACTGTTGCCTTGGTGACTCAAAAAATTGCTCTCTTGCATTACATATGTAATGCATGTGCATACATATGTGATAAAAATGAAGGAACATGTATCTATTCGGCTTGAAAGTCATACACAAAATTTTTTCTAAGGAAAACTTTTGCCTTGGTGCCTCAAAAAATTGCTCTCTTGCATTACATATGTGACAGGAATGAATGAACATGTGTGGTATGATGGACACATGTCTATCTGGTTTAACACTGCAACTACTCTTGATTTTACTAATAACTATGTACCTAGTTCAGATGTATACTTTTACCCTCTATAATAAGAAATTTTTTGAATTATATAAAAACTGCTCTCTTGTATTACATGTGTGATAAGAATGAATGAACATGTGTGGTATGATGGACACATGTCTATCTGGTTTAACACTGCAACTACTCTTGATTTTACTAATAACTATGTACCTAGTTCAGATGTATACTTTTACCCTCTATAATAAGAAATTTTTTGAATTATATAAAAACTGCTTGTATATGGTATAAAAATGGTCTGCAGACATTTCTTCAAATATAATATAAAAGTTGCCTATAAATATTCCTTTAAGTACGATATAAACATTTTGCAAATACTACCTGGTATAAAAAAGTCTCTGAACATTTATTCAAACGATATAAAAATTATCTGCAAGCATTGGTATGAATAAAAATAAAATTTTAACCTTATAGTCTCATTACACATTTCTCTCTAAAAGTAATTCTCTAAAAAAAAATTGTACTCTGTATAGTTAAATCTTCGCCACCATACAAAATTTCATTGACAAATAAAATTTGCTAAAATCACCTTTAAATTAATTCTAAAATTAGAATTTTTTAATGGGGAAAATTATTCCCAAGTCAGACTCCATCGTATACTTATTAGCTTTTATTGTTTAAGATAAACAAGCTATATAGGTCAAGCTGCGTGAGCGAGTATATCGTAGTTCTGTTGAAAGGTAGATGAGATAAGAATACTCACAATCAGTTGTACAGTGAATAGAAGAAAACAAGAAAAATAGAATCAGCGGAGTCTCTCAGAGTTCGCCTCGATAGTAGAGAGTTAAGAGTAGCAGCAGAAATAGCATAATGGCCGCGAGGGAGATTATGAACCTTAAAAATGATTGTAGAAACTATTTATACTGACTTGAAAAATTATTTTGTACCGAGTTATTGTTTCAGGGTGGTAATTATTTTAGGGAGTAGTATTTATGCAGAGTTATTTGACATTAATATAATTATTTCATATTTGAGTTGTATATTACTTTTTTATTTTTTTATTTTATATTTAAGTTGTATATTATTGTTACATGATAGTGTAACTATTTCAGACAGAGTTTGACTCTAACACAATTATTTCTTACAGAGTTTGACACTGGTATAATTATTTTATATACAGAATTGTTGAATTTCATCCCCCAGAGTCCACTTTGCTTCTCGAATAAAATAACATGAATCTTTGCACCCCTAAATTCTCAGTCTAGCAAAATTCTCAGTTGACATTTGTAAATTTTGAAAGATCCCCAAAACATTAACAACCCTTATTACTTTCCTTATGGGAGCCAAATTGACTTTTGATTCCACATGAGCACCACTGTAATTATTATTACATTCTTAACAATTATTAACATATCCTTGTTAACAATTTTCTAATTAAATCTAACGTCAGAAGCAAATTTTTAAACAGCAAATAAACTGCTTCAATATCGCCACCCTCGAATTCCCCTAAAATAAATCAACTCGCACCTAAATTCCTCAAATGAACACATCAATCTAAATAGGTGTGGAAGTGCACTTATCAAACAATAGTTATTCGCAACATTCACTTAGAAATTGTTGAAATGAATTTCGCCCAAGTACGATGTCAGCCATGAAAGCCTGTTATCACGGCCCAACCTCAGCTTTCTCCTGCAATTATATCAACCACCCTCTCACCGTCGTTGACTTAATAAATATTCCAGCAACAATCATCCACAGACCGGCTGTATCCCGTTTCCGACGATTAAGGAACATCACACGCCCACCGGGTTCGCTTATCAAAACCGATCGTTCGACCGGGGTGTAACGAGTCGGGTCGGGACAGAGAAAACGCCTTTTGTCCGGCGATTTTTCGTCGCTGCTCGACGAACGACGTGATTCACAGAACGAATCGGCCTGGTGAACGTACAATAATGAACACTGTGGAAAGGTTGCGTTAGTATATTGGTTGTGTGTACACGAGTGTACAGTGACTCACACAATTCATCAAAAGTACCATTTTCTTGGGAAGTACGGTTTTGGAGTAATAGCGGAAGATTCGATGGAGAGTTTGAGTGTAGGGTGTTTTAGCCGGGTGCTCTGCTATGTCGAGGGGATAGTATGGCTGACAGTGTTGTTCTCTTTTATCTTGTGAAGCAATTATTTTGGAAAGAATGGTAGTAGATTGTTAAATTATTGAATTTTCAATTTCTGAATTTGTACAGGGTCTGAAACGGGTAGTTTAACAAATTAGGAAAATATTAAGTTATCAAATTGAATGATTTATCAGATTATCAAATTATGAAGTTATTAAGGTATCAAATTATCGAATTACCAAATATCCTTATTTTCAAATTCCTAAATCCTGAAAGTTTCGAATTCCTAATCGCCAAATTTCCAAATCTCCGAATCCCTAAATTCCCATATCGTTAAATCTCTAAATTCCCAAATTCCCGAATTCCCAAATTTCCAAATTCCCAAATCTCCAAATCCCTAAATTCT